CAGTTCAAAGAACTGACCTCATCTAATGATTTTTTTTTATTCACTAAAAATTAATTTTAAAAACTTTCGGTGTAGTTAAAAATCCTCTAAAACCATTTTAATCATTATTTTACATAAAAAACTGTTAAGCTTAAGATTTTACGACGGTTGCCACGTGTTGAAAATCCCCTAATTATATATTTTAAAAGATAATACAAAGCTTTGTGGGTAATTTAGATTTCTTTCTGGGTAATTAAATGAATTGAAAACGGCAACGCTGATTCGTGGAGACCTATTGATTCAGCAAATTTCTCTGTAATCTAAAGCGCGCAATGGTTCTGGTAAATGAGTCAAGGAAGGTATTTCGCATTGACCTACACAGCACAATCCTTGTGTCTCCGAATGAGACTTTGACGCAATATAATATTCATGGGCTCGGTTTAGTCACTGGCGGGATGTTGTAATTGCACACTTACGGAACTTCTCATTTGACGGTGTAGACCGCGTTCCGTAGCTGCATGTCCTTTTCATTGTTCCTGAGTTCAACCAGCACGAATCGTCAATCGAGACTGTGTTAGCCATTGTTTTATATTCTGATCGGCCGTATAATGTCTCACGAACACTAAAGGCCAGTTTTCCAGTGCACGGCTTTGGTTTAAACTTAAATTAACCGCTAGAGCTAGTCAATTCAAACGCAGTTTACGTGATCCTAAGTTTAAACTTGCACTGAAAAACTAACCCTAAAAGTGCAGCATCAAAGAATTCGCCTAACCATATTAGAAGCAATCGCCATAACCGCGAAAGAAAAGTAAGCGCCAAATGTTTTTATTTTGAGTCTTTTTTTTAACAAAATTATATATTTTTTCCACAAACAAATAATTTCTTCATATCCATCAACCGTAAATAGTACCGCAAAGAATTTACAAGGCAAAAAAACAATAGAAAAACAGCTCAAATTGGACCATCCCTTCTCAAGATATACGCCGCCTGACGTACGCACATATATGTATTTGCATACAAATATTTATTTTTAGTAACAATCAGAGTTTATATTAGATGTAAATAAGCTGGTTTTAATTAAATAATTAAAGCAAATACTACCGTACACTCTTGTGAACACCTTTTTGTGGAACTTCGCTACTTTTTGGAGGTGATTGAATTCTTCCCCATTTCCTCCTGCTCTCAATAAACATCCCTGTGGGTGGGAGTGTCAAATTTCAGAAGAAAGATACTTACAAAATCTTTAATAATTGAATCATGTGCAACACTTTTATATTTGACTTTTTGGCATAAGCATACGACGCTCCAAATTTAGTATAGAGAATATTTATGATTTTTGCTTTTTCTAACCGTTTGAACTGCTCGTGGAGTTAGCAGGAGTTTTTTTTTAAAGTTACTTTTTAATCAGAGTTCCTGAAAGCAAGGCAATAGTTATACAGTTCCATAATCAAATTTTCAATAGTTCTGTTAATTAAAGCCAAAAAAGCTAAAAAAAACAAAAATCGCTTGCTAACTTCATGCAGCAAGCCTTTTTTCAGCAAAAACAGTTCTGATACCATCAACTTACGAGAAATAAAGAGTCCTGCAGTTCCCAATAGTCCCGAAAAAAGTTCCGCGAAATTTTGAAAAAAAAGAGAAAATTAATTTTTCCACTAAATTTTTTAATATTTTTAAAATTACATTTTAATCAGAGTTCCTGACACCAAGGCAATAGGTCTACATTTCCCCAACCAAATTTTCAATAGTTTTGTTAATTTAACCCAGAAAAGCTAAAAAGCAAAAATCGCTTGCTAACTTCACGCGCAAGCCTTTATTCAGCAAAAACAGTTCTGATACGACCAACTTACAAGAAATTAAGAGTTCTACAGTGCCCTAATAGTCCCGAAAAAAGTTACTTTTTAATCAGAGTTCCTACAAAACTCCATAGGTCCTCAAAATCTTTCTAAGGGCCGTTTTCTCAAGTAGTTCTAACAATTTATGTACCCTTTAAAAACAAATTTTGTTCTCAAAAAAATGTTTTCGAAGGGCAGATAAATTCTAAAAGGTACTTGCTCGTAATTTCTACGAGTTTGTTTAATTTTTTTTAAATATTGCTCAATGGTTGAGCCTTTGATTGGTATTGTTTTTGTTAAAGAATAGACTATATTTTTATAAAAAAAAAACTAAAATTAAATAAAGAAAAAGTTGTGAAAACTTCTCATTATGTGGGGTGGCTGTAATTTTTTCGACCGTATCAGTTTCGTATCAGTTTGGCGGGGATCCCAAATTCAGACAAAGCGGCGTATAGGCAACACCTTTTAGTGCTGTCGAAAGCACCTTTAAAGTCGACAAATAGGTGGTAAGCGTCGATCCTTTTCTCGCGGAAGACCTATGCTTAGAAGGCTGATTCCACGGTAGTTGGCACGCATGGCGGGGTCGCCTTTCTTGTGGATTGGGCAGAGCGCACTTGAATTTTAGATGTATTTAATCGAGATATATACTTATCGGATCCTAAAACATCACTGTTATACCTAGAAAATCATTTGAAATTCCGTAAAGAAACTATAAATGTTCCAGAAGAAGTTCAAGGAATTTTCATGAGGTAATATATTTAAATCTTATGAAATTCACACAGAATTCATGTTATTATAGTTTATGAATTGATTTATGTTTTACAGAGCTACTACAAACCATGATGCTGATGGTGTTGAAAACGGAAGCATAGAAATATATTGTTGATTAAGATAATCCCCTATATTAACGTTTTGTATGTAGATAGTCACTAAATTACTACACACACACACTTACACACAAACATACACACGCACACACACGGACAAGGACGAATTTTCACTATATATACATGTGATATTGTGTATCTTTTTTTTTTTGTAGAGGTGGCACAAAGCATTGAAAGCCGAAAAGTGTGGGACTTGCCTTTCAGCTCACCGCACTAAAAACCCACCCCTGCTCCGTTTCCCTCCCACCGTGGAACTACCGTAAGGTATTGCTTCGCTTAGGAGGAGCGGCCTATTGCCAATCTATGAAATTCTGCAGAGTTGTTCCGCTCGACGCAATTTAGATGAAATTGTGCTTGCCAAATTGCAAACAACGGATCAGTTATCTTCTGACTCAAGCACAGTATCCACAAGGTTATGAACCGTAAGTGGCCTCCCCACCTTCCTGCTCGAGTCATCCCTTTCGATTGCAAACCTCGGACAGACGAAAAAGCAGTGTTCAGCGTCTTCAATAATATCCTTTGCACAGAATGTGCAGAAGGGATCGTCTTCGTGCTTAAATCGGTATAAATATGATTTAAAGCACCCATGCCCTGTCAATATTTGGGTCAAATGGAAGTCCACTTCCCATGTTCCCTACTTACCCACCTTGATATCGAGAATATGAGGCGGTGCGTCCAACGACCGCTGGCTGCGCGGTCCCACCTCGTTTGCCATTGCTGCAAGCACCTCTGTGTCACCTCTTCGCGTCTCGTTCGGTTTATAGGCCTGGGGCCTGTCACTTCCACTAGAATGTCAATGGGGCAGAGTCCTGCCACCACTAGTGCTGCTTCTTCGGACGTAGTTCGGAATGCACTGCATACTTTGATAGCGCAAAATCTGTGCAAAGACCTTGCTTCTCGTACATATGACGTCTTGCTGAACGCTTCATACCAGATTTGTGCACCATAGAGCAGCACACTGCGCACGAAGCTTGCGTATAGCTGCCTACGCTGTTGTTTCGGGCCTCCTACGTTCAGCATAACCCTTGTTAGTGCCCCTGCCACCTTTTCGGCTTTCTCGACAGCATAATCAATGTGCGTCTTGAAGGTAAGCCTCGCATCAAACATTATGCCTAGGTATTTTAGGGCCGCCTTTGACGTAATTTCTTGTTGACCAACCTTTATAGTCGCCACTTCTCTGACTTTTCTACTGCTTACAAGAACTGTCTCGGTTTTTTGGTGCGCAAGTTCCAGTCCTGTTTCGGGCAGCCATGCTTGGATCTGGACGATTGAACTATTTGCTGCGATAATTATTTCTTCTAGATGCTTCGCTACCACCACTAGCGCTATGTCGTCAGCAAATCCGACAATTTTCACTCGTTCTGGCAAGGATAGTCGGAGTACACCATCGTACATGATATTCCAAAGTATTGGACCCAGAACCGAGCCCTGTGGTACTCCAGCCGAGACTTTATGTTCTTTGACACCGTTCTCCGTATTGTACAGTAGCACTCTATTTTCTAGGTAGTTGTCTACAATCTTGCGAAGGTATGCGGGTACCTCGAATCTGCGTAGAGCAGCGTTTATGTGTTTCCAACTTGCTGTGTTGAACGCATTTTTTACGTCGAGGGTGACAAGCAAGCAGTACTCCTTTTCTCCTCCCTTCCACCTTTCGCCACTGATTGCATCTTCCGCCAACTGCTTTACTAAACTGGCTGCATCTACTGTTGACCGCCCATTTCTGAAGCCGAACTGTGTCTCTGAGAGGCCTCCCTTTTCCTCGATTGCTTCTAGCAGTCTATCGCTGATTATGCGTTCGAACAACTTGCCCGTCGTATCCAACATGCATATAGGACGATATGCTGAGGGATCTTCTGGTGGCTTCCCAGTTTTCGGCAATAGAACTAGCCGTTTGGAGCCTCCATGCATCAGGAAATACTCCTTCTTTAAAGCATTCGTTAAAACTATCGACGAACGATTTGGTGATTTTTTATCTTTAAATCGCTTGGCCGCAAGAAGTACTTCTTCCGTGCTCACCATGGGAAACCCGAACATCGTAGCAGGAAAGATTTCTCTCGCAAAACTTGGTTGCATTGGGAATAACGCCTTTATTATCGTCTCCAGCTTATTTGGGCATAATACCTGTGGTCGAACCGACGCCTTCAGCCTTTTCATCACAACTTTATATGCTAAGCCCCAGGGGTCATTTTGGACGCTTTCACACAAGCTAGTAAAGCACTTTCGCTTGCTGAGCTTAATGGCTTGTTTAAGCTCCTTGCGTTTAGCTCTGTATATAGCATGTTCGCCGGTAAAGCTTTCAGACCTTCTGGCACGCTGGTAGTTTCTTCTCGCTCTGTTGCATTGCAGTCGCAAGTCCGCTATTTGCTCATTCCACCAATAAACTGGTGCACGTCGGCTGGTCGGGTATTTTTTCTTCATCGAAGCATCGCACGCTTGAGTGATTTTGGCCATGAGGTAGTTCGTCATGTTACTAGCTCCGTAGGGTAACGAAATTCCAGACATCATGGCTACTAGCGCCTCTTCGTCTAGAGAGTTGACCTTCCAACCTGTTGTTGCTCTTGCACTGACTTTTCTGCTCTCTCTCTCCTCCTGTATCGAGAAAATGATAGCCATGTGGTCGCTATGAGTGTACTCGTCGCTAACCTCCCAGGACGTGTGTCGAAACAGCCTGCTGCTGATAAATGTGAGGTCAATAATGGACCCCACCCCATCCTTGCTGCCACATCCAGAGACGATAATGCTGCAAGACGAGCTCTCCCTCTGGCGTTAATTCGTCGGCTTCCCCATTGCAAGGCCCAAGCATTGAAGTCGCCGGCTATTAATACGGGTGATCTAGTCCGGGCATCAAAGGTAAGCTTATCCATGACGGCTTCGAATTCATCGAGGGTAAAACTAGGCGGTATGTAGCAGCTATATACAACTAATCCAGAGACTCGAACACATACAAAACCTACGTCTGCCTTGAGTTGTTCCATATGAAGGGGCGTTATGGCGCAGCTCCACACCGCTTCTCGACCGGCATCGTCCTGGGCCCATAGCTGACCCACCTTGTATGGTTCACTTAGTAGCGCTATGTCAACATTGTGGTCAATCACCGTCTGCTCCAATTGCTCCTGTGCAGCTTTGCAGTGGTTCAGGTTAAGCTGCAAGACCTCCATGATGTCCGGGATTTTTGTATCGCCTCTATATAGTACGGGCAGTCGTTTCCGCCTGTCCTGTGCCTTACGTCTGGCTTTTTATTTCTGGAGCAGATTACGCACCGTTTCTCCTTCTTACATACGTTGGCTCTATGGCCTATATCACCGCAATTGAAGCACGCCCCTTTCGAATCGTGAATGCTTTTACAGTTTCTTGCCAGGTGGCCAAACTCTAAACATTTGAAACAT